AGATCGTCTTAAGTACAGTCTTAAGATGTTACGAATCAATCAGAGGGCATAATAGAAATAATAACGGACTATGAACACCGACTTATAAATACCGACCTTAGATATGGTGCGTCATTATGAGACGTCGCACTTCATTCCTACACGTACGCTCTAATTTGAAATTTGATCAAAACTATTTCGCTCCTTTTTGCATTTTCCGCGAATAAATTTTGGTTTTTCTTTAAATTTCTATAGTCAAAATATCGAGTTATTGTAGCTGTCTAAAATGCGCGTAAAAAATACCAAATTGCATCCAATCGTCTGTATTTCAAACTATGACCTGAATTTGAATTGTTGACTACGCGCGTCTGCGCGGGCAGCGCGGAAGTCGGCCGCCATGACACTTACAGCGCCTTTGGTACTGGGGCTGTGCACAATGAGACCTCGTCTACAATTAAGTCGGCTGACGCTTGTCGGATGTCGTTAGTCGTGAAAGATGGGACCTAAACGACGTCCGGTAGCCGCATAGACAGCAAATACAAAAAATAAAGGTTATGATGCGCATGCACGCAATATATGACAACGTTTCCCGACGTTTCCCGACGAAAGAGTTTCTCTCAATTATATAAAACATAAATTTTATGCTTTTTAAAAAATTAAAAAATTGAATAATAAACAGAAAAGAGACAATAGCTGGATATTTTGTAATGCAACTTATTCCTGGTATCTCATCCCAACTTGATATTTTAGATTTCCTTCGAGTATTAATATAACTTCATTAAATTTTTTTAGTATTTGCTTTGTCATGTCATAACAATATTAAAAGAAACTGAAAGTTTTTTGCTTTTTGTTAAATCTCGAGAGTTCATTAGAATTATCTATATTTAAACTGAAAGCCTCGGTAGTCTAAGGGCTTAGGACGCTCGTACAAAATACAAGAGATCCATTCTACTCCCGACCGAGGTAATTTATTTTTTGCAATAAGTTTATTTTTTGCAATAAGTTTATTTATAGTTTTTCAGTACATTAACATCTTTCTAAGGATGCCTGATTGAGCATCAAATTATTAAATTACTTGTCAATTTAATTTGTGATATTGCTATAGTAATTTAATTGCGTTTACAAGTCCGAAAAATCAATTCAGCGCGCAGTTTAAATGATTACATATATCGGCCCGTACTCAGAACGCGCTTTTATTGATAAAAGCGCGCTTTTACCTCTAAAATTCTATAGTATGCGTAACGTAAATTATAGCATGTTAGTGCGCTAACATCGTTGAAAGCGCGCTCTGAATACTTACAAAGAGAACATCAGGTGATGGGGTCGGGAATTTTGATGCGCTTTTTACAGGCTGTTTTTGAGCGAAAAAAAAACGATACGTATCCGGTTTCAGCCATTGACCCATAGTTTCGAAGAAATCGATTTTTTAAATAATTATTGTTATAATTGTAATAAAATTTTAAAAACGTACTAATAAAAATATACGTATAAATGAAAATATCAGTATTTTTATAAATTTCCTTTTTATTTAATGTTATTAATTTTAATTACTTTTTAATTGTAATAAAATTTCATGAAATTACATATTAGTATTATAGATTATAATAATAATTAAACACTCATTTATGGAATATTTATTATTACAGTTTTTGTAACAGTTTTTATTACAAACTTATTTATGCGTTCATGTGAATAGCAACAACGATCACGATAACGATAATAATAATCAATATTCCATAAATATTTAATTATCTTTAATACTAATACGTAATTTCATAAAATTCCATTACAATCAAAAAGTAACTAATAACATTAAGTTAAAATAAAATTAAAGATATTGATATTTTCATTTATACAGTACATTTTTCAAATTATTAGAATAATTATTTAAAAAATCGATTTTTTCGAAACTATGGGTCAATGGCTGAAATGGCCGAACACGTATCATTTTTTTTTTCGCTCAAGAACAGCCTGTAAAAAGTGCATCAAAATCCCTAACCTCGTCACCTGATTAGTTTCCCTCATTAGTATATAAATTCATATGCAAATTATTTAAAAGCATCTAAGATCCAGCTTCAACCGTTATAAGTATTACTTATGCATTCACATATATCTAATAAATCTTAATAAATCGTTTATTATTGTTGTTTAAACTAAAAGTTCTTCGATCGACGGAAACATGAATATACATTGCCGATATCAAACCAGTTGTAATTCATTCTAGCAACAGTTAAATGTTTAACTGTTGGAAATAAACCTTTTTAATGATATCACATCTTTTATTTCCTTCATGCTCCAGTTGCTCGATACTTCATCAACTTCGTCATGCACAGAGAGAGAGAGAGAGAGAGAGAGAGAGAGAGAGATCGCGATTTATTAGCAAAATATTATAACTATTTACGGTTAGCTCGCGAGGTAAAAATTTTTTTAATACAAACATTTTTTTAACAAAGAAAAAGCAACCAAAATTAATAGATAAAGATGGTGAAAAGAAATTTGTATTATGGTTATATTGTTTTTCAATAAAATCAATAATTTTTAATAGACATAATATCTTTCAATAAAATTCAATAATTTTTAATAGACATAATATCTTTTCGTTTTGTAAATGGCCTGAAAAAAGCCATCTCTCTCTCTCTCTCTCTCTCTCTTTTAGTCACTTTTTAATATTTTATATCCCTTATATATATGTAATATATCTGGATATTATTATTAATAATAATTAGAGAGAGAGAGAGAGAGAGAGAGAGAGAGAGAGAGAAAGTTAATAATATTCTAAAAATCAGACAAAAAAAGGTGGCTTTTAGATTTTCAAACATAGTCGACCTCGTTGACTTACAGTTGACATTCAAAATTGATAAAAGACCATTCTAAAATAATCGATTAAATGTTAATGTAAACTTTACAAGTTGACTTTAAGTTGACTGAAAAAAGTCGACTATTAGTCGTTGAACTGTCACGCTGTGTGAGCTGTTTTTAATAGTATCTCATAATCGGTGTTTTTTAGTTGCGGGATTCTCTAAATCTAAACGTTTTATCGACAATTCTCGCAATTGTCAATTAGCGATAGCCAATGAGTGCCACGCTTTCTTCAAGATTGCTCTGCCATTATAGCTATCGCTAGATAATGATACCAATAATCATCGATAAGATATTTAGAGAATTCTGTTACAGACATACGTTTTCTCTGGGATGCGAACCGTCATCTGGACTTATTTTGTTGGATCAGCCAAAAGAATTGGTAATGTCACCATTTTCCATTTATCCTTCGGCCTATCAAGCTCACTTAACAATAGTTTCAAAAATGTATACTTATTGGCCGATCTCTATTAGAGATCAAATCTTATATTCAAGACTATCTTATAAATACAGTCTTAAGAAATCACGAACCAATCAGAGTACCGTATTAGCGTCTTAAGACATTACTTAAGACAGTCTTAAAATAAGAACGGACTATGAATATCTCCCATTATCTGATTCGGTCGTCTTTAACAATGACTGCATTCAGCAAAAAAAGGCAACTTTGCAACTAGTGTAATAATCAAACTAGAACGAAATTTTCTTATTGAACATCGTATCGTCCGTACGTTGAATGTCGTATGCGACGTATGCAATCATTTCGGTCGCCAAGAAACGAAAATAGACATTGGACTCTTCGGCGTGCGTTTGTTTTTCGCGCGTCGCCTCGTGCGGTGTATGCTGGTCCGATAGAAGCTCCTGATAGAAGACCCTGCGAACCGACCAATCACGAGCC